TTTCTCCTTTGATCAGTTGCGGTACCGACTGTATTACCCACCACCCCCTGCGCATCGGTCGTACTCATTCCCACTGAAGTACCGATCGCCTGACTTAATACTACTGGAATAATGGTTTCCAAACCTGTTAAATCTGACTTATCGGTTGAAACTGCCGCGTTCGACCTAGAGAGCTTTAAACCAGGACCCTTATCACCATCTTGTTCCTCTTCCAAAGCGGCTGGCGGACCTTGTATGTTTTGCGTATCCTTCCCAACTTGATCCTTTGGCGCATCTTTCCCCAGTTCTCGGTCCGCTTCTGTTCCCTTCTGCTTAACTTCCGCCCCAACTGGTCCCTTTTCTGGACCAGAGTCCGGACTGAGTTCAGGAAGATCAACTTCACTCGCCATCACGCAATCGGACAGGCAGCAGCACAGGGCAAGCACCAACAGGGCGCACAGCAGACGGCACGTCATCATCATCGTGAGTGTGGTCGTTCAGTGGTGTGGAGCTGATCTGCACAGTGAGGGACATGGAGAGCAACAGAGGAGACGAGAGGTGCGGCAGACACACACACAGAGGGCACACCACATGAGGAGAGGGCAGCAGCCAGGCATGCACCGTACGCCGCACACCACGCACGACACACACTCCAATCCACGGCAACACGCACACACACACACACCGCCCTGCCGCAACGCCAACACAAAGATGGCAGAAGAAACTGAATTCTCTGGATGAGGTGCCGCCGAGCGTCTTCGTGCGGGACTCGTTTCGGCGCAAGTTGAGCCACACGGACATCAGCAGGGTTGCTACGCCGCGCTTCTTGCAGCACCAAGCCGTGGATTGAGAGGATGTGAGGGTTTGCTTCAATTACAAGAACAACGAGATGCGGCGCATGACGGCCAACCTGGTCCGCGTGTGGTCGCAGTGCATGGAGCACGTGCACCAGTACGCGTAGGACGTAGCGCTCATGATTGTGGAGGGGAGGCGGCACGACATTGTTGTGCTGTGTGTGTTGCGCGGCCGGGGCGTGCCGGCGATTGTGAGGGACGTGGAGGACACGGAGCTGCTGGACTGAGGGAGGCGGTGGCGGACGTTGCGGCGCAGCGGGAGCGCATGACGGCTGCGTGTGGTGGAGGGGCGTGTTGAAGTGAGCGTGGCGTGTCTGTGAGGGACTGAGGAGAGGGAATAACAGCAACAGTGACTGTGGGAGTGTGAGGAACGGTGCAAGGCGAGGAGCGCTCCTCTTTTGTTTTGTTTTGTTAGTTTTTGGACCGCGCCCAACTAATTGTTGTTGTGCGTGACTCTCATTGCTGGATGGGACGGTGCGGGGCGGTGTGACTTGTCTCTCTTTCTTTTGCCCTGCATTGACGGGGAGTTAGTTTGTGCTGAAGGCTGCACGCAAGTGACAGGAGTGATGGCGATGATGATGGCTGGCCGTGTGCTGCTGGTGTGTGCCCTCTGCGTGCTGTGGTGCGGTGCCGGCGGTAGATGTGACGGGGATGAGGTATCTTCCTCTGCTTTGTCTGGGCCTCGGGGGGGTGTTGATGGGCCGCAGAGTTCATCGAAGTCAGTTGCTGGAGTGTCTGAAGACGCGAGGCAATTGTTGTATGCACAAAACGGAAAGAATGAAAACCAAGGAAGAGGTTCAGTTATAGAACCTTCACTGGATGATGTCTATGAGGAAGAGGATGAGGGGGAAGAAACAGAGACACGCGAAACACCACCACCAGCAGGCGGAGGAATAAAAGCACCATCTGCTTCTGCTGGTCCTGGTGTCATTCCTACTTCGGGGTCTTCTTCTCCTTCTGGCGTTGATTCTTCATCCCGCATTGGTGGCGGAACAGGGCCTACAGTCAGTACTTCATCCAATACAGTTGGGAAAGCTTCGAAAGAAGATATGGCACTACAAGAAAAGGAGAGTCAACACACCCAGCTAGGCGACGGAGAGGCAGCAGGAACACACAACAACGGATCGCAACAAAACAGTTCTGCTCCACCACCAACGGGGGGCCAAAATGACAACGACGCCGTCACGTTGAGTGCCGATGGTTTACGCACTTTGGGAGTACAAATAGCGGTAAAAGGGGATTTAGAAGCTTCCCGATCAGAAGAACCATCAGATGGTCCAAGTACAAACTTACCAGAAAGTGGAAGGGCTCCGCCGGAATCATCACAAGCAGCGGCAGCACCGGAACACACGCCTCAGCACAAAGTAATGACGTCAGTAAAAGAGGAGACGGAGAGAATGAACATGAATGCATCCGCAAATTTACCTGGGGCGCCTAAAAGAAGTAACGAGGATCCTGCATCCACAGCCACCACAATGCAGAGTACATCAACTGGCGGTCAAGAAGGAGAAGCTACGCCGTCTTCAAATGGAATTCCTAAAATTCAGGAGGAAAAACTCACTGGAAACAATACCACTGAGAATGTTCAGCCTTCGGATACTGCAGAGACTGAAAGACTCCAAAGTGTAAATACATCTAATGTTGGCGACAGCGACGGCAGCACCACGGTCTCCCACACCGCCTCCCCTCTTCTGCTTCTCCTTGTCGTTGCGTCTGCGGCTGCGGTGGTGGCCGCGTGAGAGTGAGGGAGAGAGCCGTGCACCGCCCGCACACACACTCTTCCTTCTCTCTGTGTGTGTGTGTCCCCTTGCATGGACTCTCGCCCTCACCTCACCCCACGAGGCACACACAATAATGTGCCCATTGTATATATGCATGCACACCCATGCAGGCCCGTTGGTGCTCTCTTTTGCACGACACGCACCGCTGCCGTCCTGCCTGGCTGCATAGGCGGAGCACCGTAACTGTTTTTAACATTCCTTTTTCTTGTTTTCTTTAAAATATTTTGTTGTTTTTTGTTTTTTTGTTTTTTTCTTTTATTTCCCTTCTTTTTTTTGCTTTTGGGGGCAATCACTATGTACGTTTTTTTCTTTTCTACTATACCCTCTTTAATTGTTTCTCGCTGCACTCTTCCTGTGAGGGGTGCCGTGTGTTTCTGCCCAACTGCTCCACTCGCACACCCACCGACACGCTCATGACGACGGCCCTGTGCGCCTCGCCTGCTGCACGCATGAGGAGGGGCCGCGACGAACGGCGCGCTGAGGGAGCCGTGACGTGTGGGCGTGCGACGAGGGCCTGTGGGGCGGAGCACACATTTCTTCCCTCTTGTTTTGTTTTCTTGCGGCCAGGGCTGGCAGACACCCGCAGCGCCACACACACAGCCACACCCTGCCGCCGTGTTTTTCTTTTTTGTTTCTTGTTTCTTTTCGTGTTCATTTCACGCGCTGGCAGTCCCGTCAGCATTTCTCTCCCTCCTGATGATTTTTTTCTTTTGCTGCGCTCACTCCCCGATGGAGTGACGCGACTCCCGTCATGTCTGCGTGCTTCTCTCAGTCCCCACACACGAATGACTGTGCTCTGCGGGCCGCACTCACGCGCCGATGAGAGGGCTGAGGGGAGCAGCAACACGCAGATGACCCCATGAAATATAAACGATGTGCGGGCACATGGAGGGTCAGACGGTTGAAACACACGCAACCATCTTTTTAATTTTCTTTCCGGCAAAATAAATACGGACAGTTTGGTGTGGCCACATGGCAGCCAGGCGGTTTTTAAATTTGTGTGGAACAGTAATGGACGATTTCTTTTTTATAATTATTTTGTGTGATGGGGTTTGTATAAGACGAAGGGGATGTTCTTTTTTTGTTTTAAATAAATCTTTTGTGGATTGCCGCTGCTTGGGCTGCAGTGCAGTCATGAGTTTGAGCGGTCTTCTTCTTGTTGTCTCCGCCATGCGTCCCCGCTGTACATTTTTGTGCGTCCCTCCACATACTCTGCTCCCTCTTTTCTACTTCTTTGCTTTGTGTTTCTGCAGGCACACACACACACACAATATGCACATTGCAGTGGATATGAATGCTCCTTTTGTAGTGCATGCTGGCAGTTGCGTGTGGCGGCTGTTGTCTTCTTCCATGGCCATGAGGAGAAGGGAGGAGAGGGAGCGCGCACCCCGAGTCTCTTTTCCTGCGGGTGTGGTGCACCGCGTTTGGCTGCGTTGAGTTGGGCTCCGTGTCCCATTGAGGGCGGGATGGCAGGTAATTTTGTTGCCGCATCGTGGTGGGTGCTTGCTCCGTGTGCGTTGTGTGGTGGCCGCGGTGTTTTTGCCATTTCCCTGGGGCTGTAGCGATGAGCTGGGGGAGATGGTGGTGGATGTCTTCTCCTGCATGGTGGGTGGCTGCTGGCGTTGTGTGCCTTCCTTGCGTGGATACCGCCTCGTGGTGTGTGAACTGTGCGGCTGGGCCTGCTGCCCTCTCCACATGTTGTCTGCTCTCACTCGCTGTATCCGCTGCACTCCGTCCCTCTCCCTCCTGTTCCATTCCTTTTCCTTCTGCCTCACGGATCGGACCACTGACACCAGCGACTCCACTACGGGTGATGATGACTGCGATGGTGACGATGGTGACGGTGCGGCTCCGTGTGGTGTGCGCCGTGTTGGTCCTTGTGCTCTCGTGCTGCTGCTGTAATTCCGTGTGCGTGACGGCCGCTGGTGGAGGTAATGACTCCCACACAATCTCCAGTACTCCAGAGGGATCACGTGGGACCACTACGCCAGGGTCAACAGGTTTGGGAAGCGGTGCGGGACAGTCACAAGGTGCGTCGGGTGTGGAAGGGCCTCAAGGTTGAGCGGCCGGCGAAGGAAACAAAAACACTAAGAATGCAGAGACTAAACATTTTGGTATGGCAAAGGAAAAAAATGAGGCGAACGTTACGGTACAGGCACAAACGACGAATAGGACCGAGGCGCCAACCACGACGACCATCCGCGCACCGTCACGTCTCCGTGAAATCGACGGCAGCCTCGGCAGCTCTGCGTGGGTGTGTGCCCCGCTGCTGCTCGCCGCATCCGTGCTGGCGTACACCGCTGTGGGCTGAAAGGAAGCGTGGTCTGTGCGTGCCAGCACTCAGCCACGGGGACATGTGTACGCGTCTACTGTGGTCCGATGTATGAAGTAAGAGTAATTACGATGATTGTTTTTTGCTTTTTTTGCTTCCGCTGCCCTGCTGCGTGCTCCGCGTTGCTTCCCACATCCGTCACGTTGAACGCATCCCAGACACACTCATATGCACGACATGCATACAAATTTTTGCGTGGACGCACTGTTGAGGATAGGTGCATGTGCACTGGAGCCATTTGGGTGCATTTTTTTGTAATTTTTACTGCTTTGCTTTATTGCTGCTTGTTTTTTTTTTCTTTTGTTTTGCACTTGTTTTGTGTGTTTTATTGTTGTTAAATTGTGCAGGGCTTTGTACGTTTTGCACTTTCATTGGTTCAACATTTCTCATGAAATGCGTGCTGCTGCTGGTCTTTTTCCTTTGCTTTCACTCTGCGTTGACGTGTTGTTAGTTTGAGCTGGAGGCTACACGCAAGTGACAGGAGTGATGGCGATGATGATGACTGGCCGTGT